CCTCTGAAGATCATCTTATCCAAGCCACCCTGCGCAAAGCAGGTCTAACTGTCAGCTAGTTCAGGGCCTTGTCCAGCCAAATCTTGAACACCTCCAAGGGTGGAAATTCCACAAATTTTCTTGGCAACCAGAAAGATTAGTTATTGAAGTCTTGTTATCCGAAGTTAGTTACAAAAGTTTTTTAAAAACAGTATAACCTTGTCCTAACAATTGTAGTAGGGATGAGCAAAATATAGAGGTGCCACTGTGCGTGTATAAGGAAGGGGCAGAAGGTGGCAGGAGGAAAAGCCAGTGAAGTTCTTAAGGCTTAAGGCCCTATCTTGCCCATCAGAGATGTATTGATGTGAGACGGAGAGCTACGTTCCTTGTAGTGTCTTTTGGGTGCCACACCATGGAGGTGGGGAAGCACCTGGAGGGGAGGCTTGTCAAGAGAGAGGGTCCAAATGAACAGAATTAATTTCTGATGAGTTTGTGCTAAACCATACATAAGGCAGACAAGGATGTAGTTTCAGGTCCAAGCTGAACCACAGCCTTCTGTTTCCTTAGACTAGTAACTTGGGACTTGATCTGGAAACCATCAGTTACTTTGAGATTCACTGCTTAATTGGAGTAAGCTTTTAATCTTTCCTGAACCTCATTTCTATTTGGTAAAACACGGATGGTGAAACCTTTACCTGTTTTACTCATCTGTGTCATGGGATCTTTGGGACAGATATAGTTGCTAATTATACAGTAGTTCCCCTGCATGCAACCATAACATTAATAACAGTAATAGTAACCATCTTTTAGTATGTGATTATGCAATTCAGTGTAGACAAAATGTTATAGAGAAGGTATTCCACAGCATAAAATGTTTACTGTATAATCTGAAAGCTCTTTCTTTGTGTGGCGTGTGCAGTTTTTCTGATATATTTACTCAGTGCTACCTATAAAATATATTTTAACCTTCTCCCTCAAAATCTATTCCACTGCATCACTATAATATCTTTGTGAAACAAACATTGGATTTTTTTAACAACCAAACCTGTCATTTCACAAGGCTTTATACAAATGGGAAACATAGTTAAGATTTATTTATTATGTAAAATGGCAGGGATTATTATGTTTATTACTTTTAAATTGCACAATGCTTTTACATTAGGATCAATTTTAGAACACAGGATTAGCTACTATAACTACTGGCAGTTTTGGAGCCTTATTACCTTCTATTATATTCTGAAGTAATTTTCATTTATTTAATTTAAACTTCTGTCATTCTGCTTTTTCAAGCCTTAATGTCTCAGTTTCTAAAAATCCAGTTGGTGTTTTCTATCTCCGCTGCTAAAGAAGTGCTGTTATTAAGTGATTCGATGGCTTGTTTAGTCCCTTGACTATTCCAAGGCTCACTTTGCTTAATTTAACTACTGTACTCGCCTGCTCCCTCTCTCCTCCCTCCCGCCCCTTTTTTGTTCTTAATTGTTTTCAGAGTACTCAACTTCCTGTGGGGAATCAGTCAGCACGCCAGACTTCAAAGCACTTGTTACAGTAGACCAATTTGGCAATATGCTAATTTAAGCCTATTTTTATATCTTTCTACGTTGTTTCTACGCAAACAAAGACCATTTTGGACATTAACAAAAAAGCAAGGTCTTTGGAGGCTTTTTATTGCCTCAGATCTTATTGGGGGAAAAAAATCCAGTGACTCTTAGCTGTTGGAGATGGAAAATACCTGTAGGATCTCACTTGATACATTCTTCTCTTAGTTACTTAATCCATTTTATTTGCCTTGACTGATCCAGTCCTGGTCCTTCAAGTGAGTTCACATCCATTGGCTTTAAATGAGGGTAACTGAGGTACAGCTCTTACTGTATGACTGAGAGATGTGGGGCAGAGGAACCTCAGCTGTGCAAATCATTATGGGTTCACAGAATGAAAATATGTGAAAACTAAAGAATGCTTAATTAGACAGTTTGGACCTCTGAAATTTCCAAGAACAGTGAAACAGGTTGAATCTGTGGGTTTAAATATGCTGGGCAAAAACATTGCATCTGTAATTACATGCAAATTTACTGACACTACAATTTAAGCTCTCAGTCACTTGACAGGTGAATCTAGGAGATGCATAAGAAAATTAAGTACAAATTTATCCACACACACAGTTGCATGACTGAACTGCTTAGAAGGAACATTGATTCATTTTCCTTCATGGATGAAGTTACAGAGTGGTTTGGGCATAATCCAAGTAACATTTTATGTATTTTACTTTAACATCACATCATCTCAGTGAAGTCAATGAGGTCATAGTTCCGGCTTCATCCATATTGGCTCTGCGAATCTTTGCATCGTCTATCTTTAAAGATTGGGTCTGGATCCATCACAAAGCTATTATTAGTGCTATTTCTGTTAAAATAATGAGAGCTGCCAGCTTTGTGTTTTATGCTGGTTGTAGAGTAGAGGATAGATGATCTGGCAGGAAGTATACTGGGACAATTTTTTTTAATGAATCTGAACTGGCAAGACAAGTTCATTTTGGGTCTGGAGAGCACAGCATTTTTGTTATGTTATTAGGGGCCAGTGTCTTGTAGAACCATGACCTTGGATTTATCACCTGCTTATAATTAGAGATGTTTAGCTCCTCAGTGGGATTATTTGATGATAGGGAGAGAAATCCTGGCCAGATTCTGTAAGTCTTCAGTGGAATCAGAATCTCGTTTAAGGCTGTTATTAGCTTTGTGTTTAGTAATCGATGCCTTTGCAGTTCTTGATTATGGTAATTTCATTAGTGATACTGTTCCAAAATGGCATGGATTGATTTTTGCAAGGAGAGTCTTGTATACAAGGAAACGACAGGAATTCTTTTATTCTCATATTCATTTTTCATCATCAAACTGAGGAATGCATTTTCAAAATGCTCTCTCCATTTAACAAGGTACTTCTGTATTGGAGGACTTCAGACATGAATGGAGAGGCTATTGTGTCAGCAGAAGCTGACGGCAGAGGCTGTGTGCTTATAAAGGGCACAGACAGGTCGTATTATGAAGAGTTATCAGGAATCTCTTACATGTAACATATAATTTTTATTTGAGAAGATGGTGAGCATGAACTCAGTGTAGAGTGCTGGCACAAGGACCCTTATGCAAAGGCTACAAAGTGGATTCCTGCATCGTCTTCTTTCTGCAGAGGGAGCACTGTGCAAATCCTGAAAAGGCCAATGTGAAGACTACATCTGAAGATTGTCCAGCTACTAGCTGAATAATTACCTTGATCTTGTGGCCTGAGATCATATTAAGTTCTTAGGGACTTCCATAAACTAAGTCTGAGGTCTGGCCCTTTTGAGAGTCTGATCTATTTATGTGATTAGCAATGCTGCCTTTTTGGATGGGTGTGATCTAAAGGTGATCTTCTGGTTCGCAATCTCAGCTGAAAAATGGAAACAAATGTTGGTTAATTACCAAAGGGAATTTTATTTGGGGTTTTCCTGATATAAAGGAAAAATTAAAGAGACACATAACCTGTAATTTTTTTTTTAAAAGCAGAACTCCTTCAGTTCTTACAAGAAATAATAAATGTTGGTGGATTTTTAAGTGAAAACATAATTTTTAAACAATAGGTTGAAAAATTTTAAACCAAAATATTTTAAATTTTCCAGACTATTTTAAAATTATTTTCTTATAGCAAAAAGTACTGTCCGAATTCTGTCCAGATAGTAAACACTTTCAGACTCTCTAAAATGGTATTTCACAGTAGTTTTTCCACTTGATATTTATACATAGATCCAATACAGTGATTCTTTAAGAAATGGTCTCTTATACATTTAACGACATCTATAAGGTGGAGTGATGACTACATATGCAAAAGATCAAACTATAATAATGTCTTTGGAAATGGAAGATAGCAGACTCTCCAATAGCCCTCATTAGTGGAATTATGTAGTTATAGCTAAGAAAATTATTATCTAAATACTACAGATGGTTCAATGGCTTTTTAGTGCAGGGACAGAGTGAAAAAAAAAATCGTAAGCAAAACATGCTGGGAATGACTAAATGCAAAATGAGAAAATTTTTTTCTGACTCCTAGTAGAAACGGCTCCAAGTCAAAATGTCAGATTCAGATAGCTGCAGACCTTGAGGCTAATGAGATCTGGATCTGTATTTTGTAGCTTGCATCCATAGTTTAAAGTGAATTTGAGATCTAAATTTATATGTGTGATGTAGTTTAATATCATTTGAGTTTCTGGTTCTGGTTCCAGAGAGCTCTTAGACAGTGATCTGAGGAGCTCCTGAAGAAGGCAATGGAACGTATGCCTCACATTTTTCTCAAGTCTTTAAAATCAGAAAGATGTTATATTCTTTATGAATGTGAATGTACAAAAGAAGTGTCTGTATTGTACAAGCATAGGAAAGTAAAACAACTTCTTTCATAGTAAAAGTTTAGGTCTTGTCCAGAAGATGTTTGTTGTTATTTATTGAATTTTGCTGTATTGATTTCTGTAACTCTGACTATTTATCTTTCTACTGCAACACACATTTCAGTAAAAACTCTTTTGGGGGCAAAAGGCCAGAATGAAGTCTTTGCATGGCTTATCTCTAAAGTAGGAAGTGAGAGACTCAGGATTTGCACCTACAGAAACCAGTGGGGACTCTTTGATGTCTCTCTTAATGTTCTGGGTTTAGATTACTTTGTGAGTACAAAAAGGGTGAAAGGTTTGAGGTTACTTTTAACTAATTCTTAGGATCATGATTTGTCCATGGGGTAGTTTTTAATAGAGCACATACAAGGGTATGGGCTATCAGAGGCAGTGTTTTGAGGCTGAAATGCATCCTCTGTCCACAAAAACTCACATGACCCAAAGATTCATGATATTTTTAATATCATACCTCTTTAAAGGAGGAAAAAAAAAAAGACCACAGCATGGGGTATTTTTTCTCCAGTTTTTCAGCCCTTTCAAGTTATTTTTTATAACTAAGAGCACAAGATCCTCCCTTTTAATTTTTTTTTTTTTTTTAATTTTGCAGATGACTCCAAGATGTCTTAACGTATGACACTAAGTTTCACAAACTGCAAGACAGTGTCATGGGAGTAGGATACATGATGCAGGGGATTTAACAAGTACCACTCAGTCCTGGGATATTGAAGTACGTTTAGAAGTATTCCTGTTCTATGGCAATCAGTTCGTAGTTCTTTGTTCACCATCTCCTGTATTAACCATGAGTTTCTGCTGAAATGAAGGGCTTTGTGAAAAGGAAAATTTTAAGGCTAAATCATTTAATACAGATCTTGCATTCTTAAAGGATTACTTTTTCAGCTGAGCCTGCTAGTTATATTATGGAGCAAATTTGTCCTGTAAGCAAATGTAAAGTAGTGTGACAATGTTTAAATTTCAGTGAGGGAATTTTAAGATAAATAATACTTCTGTGAGTTTTGCACAAGTCAAGAGCACACAAATTCACAGCTATTGTGGGTCAAGTCATTCATGCTAACAGTAATAATATAATTCAGGGTTAAGCTTTATAGTGGGGGCCAAATTCTGTCCCATGGTTCATATATTTATTTCCTTTGTATTCTTCCACCTCTATAGGACAACCGAATATGGTGTCAATAGGCCCACATTCTTCTGACATCCTAATTCAAACCACAAGAGCTTCCAATAAGTTGCCAATCCTGTTGCATATTTATTTTTGCAATAGTGCCAAACCCCCAAGTTGTATTTTTCACTGTTAGATATTCCCTAAAAGCAATAAATGATGTTCTTACACTATTGTAATGACATTCTTTTTAACTTGGTTGATTAAGACCTGGTTTAGGTGCACTGTCTTCAGTTATGATGTAAGGCTTTCAACTCAGGTAATTGCTTCAAGAATTCTGTTAAGCTGATGTTACTGCAGGATTCCTGAGAAGTGAAGAAATGGAATGAAGTATGCAAATAAAAAATATGAAAATTGATCCTTTTAGACACAATGCTGGTATGAAGCCTAAAGCTCTCATCAAAATTTTCTTTACACAAAATCTGAAATAGCTATTAAAATCACCCTACCCCAGTTATATAGCTAGGCAACTTGGATCAGAACCTAGGCTTGAATATTCCACTTGTTTCTCCACTCTACTTATATAGGGAAGTGATAATTTCTGCTAGTCTTTTTCAAATAGAAATGTTACATTTTCATCCTATGGATAAATGGATTAATGATTTGTCAGGCCAATTTTGCAGCTTTCCTTCAAGAAATTAATAAACCTTTAAAATGTCATATTGCTTTTATACTTTAAAATGTCCTAAAGATCTACATAGGGAAAGGATGCATATTATTTATGACTTTCCTATATATTGTGACCTCAAATATTTAAATCTACTAATTACTGGAAGAAAAAGACATTTGTGATTTCCAAAGGACTTAAAAAATCAAAGAAAATTTACAGGTTAGGAATTTGTTAGTGTGGTGACAATGAGCCCAGGATAATTATAGACTAATTTATGAGCTAATTATTTAGGCTAAAAATTCTGCCTTTTATTTCCATTTTGGAAATACCTGTCTATATATGAATCTTCTATTACCTACTCATATCTCTCTTGTCTGTCACTGTGTTCTTCTACGTTAAGAGAAGCAGGAGAGAAAGGACCTTCTCCTCTCAACATTTCCAGGACTACAGAGAACATGTCACATGCTGAAACAAATGGAGCAACACTGGCCCATTTCTCTTCCACTGAGGGATGAACCTACCTTTTGCAGCAGAGAGGATATGGACATCTTTCTAAATTTAAAGTGTTTATGTGAGGAACACAGGACGGATGTCAGTCCCTACACTGGCAATGTCATTGGACTGCATTTTTTTTTTTTTCCTAAATGCAATGCTGTCATTATCTTTAAATTTCCAGAATTCTCATGTAGTGACTACCATATTCAACAGACAATTTGAATATGGATTGTTCCACAATTGAAGCTAAACTAGGACACTAATTAATCCCTTTTCTGCAGTTCTGTAATGAGTTGGCTAGCTTACAAGTACCACTGACCTCTAATGGATGGATTCCGAACTGTTCAGTCATTTGTCATGTCTTATAGGGCACAACTCATGGCAAATCTGCTTTAAGTTAATAGTAAGGACTTGTGCTTTTGGGTCAGGAGAATCTAATTTCAACCTCAGTTGCTGCCAGGAATTTCTGAGTGCTTGTGGTCTCCAGCTCAAGTGTAGGGTGTCATTAGTGAGCTCAAAGGAGTGAGCAGTTACTCACGAGAATGAGTTAATGCTTTGCTCACCACTGTAGGAAAGTTTGTAGTCTGTCTGCAGTAACAAATGTGAAGCTGTAGGTGGTGAGAAATTTGTTATACTATATAAACAGAACATTTCAGAGCTATTATAAAATTTGAGATTTTTGGTGAACAGAGCTCTTTATTATGTCATTGTTCGTTGAGGTCTAGCCAGCAGTGATTCATGGAATATTACTATACATCTGATTTTAGTAGTTGCCCATTACATGATGTTAACATATTTCAGTAAGTAATCAATTCAATTTTTGGTATGCTGCTTTAATTCGGGTTTCATTCCTTGCCTAGTATTTATTTTCGGAGGTGTGTTGTCCATCTTCGCCTGAGATCACACTGCCCTATTTGCAGTAGCCATTTTAGGATAAAATACTTAATAAGATTTGCATTTAAAAAATGAACTAAAAGAACTGGACCCCCTCCAGCGAGAAACAAGTAATTATATCATTTGTATTGCAAACCAGGAATGGCTATAAAACATCAGTATACTTTTTAAGATTGATATTCTTAAGAAGCATTATATTACATATAAAATGACATGGCAGGCAGAGAGGAGAAACCCTCTCTGGTGTAACCAACCCACAGACTCATAGGCAGAGGCATAGTTTTTATTCTAGATCCTGCTTAACTAAGATCTCTGAATTTACTGCTTCTAAATTTTGCCTTTTATTTTCAAGGTACCATGATTATGAAAGCTAGTGAGGGACCTTATTAGATTTTGTCTGTGACTAGAAGAATTTTTTGGTAGATTTGTCTCAGAAAACCATCCAAATATTGCATAACACATACACAAGTCTTTCATCTGGGTAATTTATCTTAGATTTCTTCTCCCTATTCCTGCCAAAATATGAACCACTGAAATTTTTGTCTGTGTAGCTGTGCAAAAATGGCATAACTAAGGTATATTTTGTGCTGTTGGTTAATATGGCAAGAGATATTTTATGTAGCTTAGATGCTTATGGCCTTAAGACCTCTCGTTCTAAGTAAAAACATGGGAATTGTTATTCTTCTCTTGTTGGATGACTAAACTAGTTTAAATAGTCTTCAGGCAAAGCACAGTTTGTGCTAAAATCCATGTAACATTTTGTGAATCTCAAATAGAAATGTTCATCAGTTTTTCAAATACTTGTGAATGATATGTAATCTCATGGACTAGAATCATGTGCATTTGACATTTTATTAATGAAAATTTTCCCAAATCAGTGTCTGATAACTTGTTTAAATATTCAGGGGCTTCTACCCTGAATACAAACCATTTGCAAAAAACTGTTAGGTGAGTACTAATAAATTAATATGTTAATTAAATCTGCATCTGTGTACAGACTTTATTGCTGTTTGCTTTGCATCTTTTTTAAACAAAGCTTTTTGAGCTTTTATTTTTGTGTGTAGCAAACTTTACATTAGAGTTGGTCAATCTATTCTCATATTGGCAGAAGGGGATTTTCATTGATTGTTTTCCTCTGTATTTGCCTTTTTTCCTCCTTCTCTAAACCATAGTGCTGTAATGCAGAAGATTTATTGTCAATGATTTATTAAAATGTAATTCTAAGGTGACTCCTTATCGTGAAAGTAATCTGCAGGCTATCTTTGTTTAAACTTGCAACCCGCTTTGTCAAAGAAAACAGCCTATGAAATTTTCATTATAATAGACAGGTTTTTATAATGAACTGGGAAAAAGCTATTATGACCAAAAAACAAATTGTTAGGAAACTTATGCATTGAAACAATATGCTCATTAATTGTAATTTTTTGGGGAGGGTGAACAATTCGTTTAATGGTTACATTTTTCAGGCTTATAAATTAATTTGAATTACCCAATATCACTTAATTTTTCCCTAGGAAAGCTTCTGCTTGCCCGAGCAATATTAGAACTGCTAATTCAATTACACTGAAATTGTTTAATAGAAAATATAATTGCTTATTCATACAGAATACCCATTAAAGAAGTGCAAAGGCCTATACCCCAGGGTTACTACATATTAGTACTTTGGGAATTCAGATGGGAATGCTGGGTAGGGAAGGTGCTGACTGATCTTTAATTGTTCATCACCTGCCTCCAAAATAATATGAATGGACCCAAACTAAATGACCACTCATTACAAGTTTCAATTTAGGAGCTTGGCTGGGGTCAGCAGATTGCTTATGCTGATCGCAATGATTTGAAGTTGTGATTACCATAAGCAATTTAAATTTTATTGATCTACCCTTCTGAAAGTTGTAATTGAGCATAGATGTTGGACCCGTAGCTCTCCAAACTAAATTGTACTCTGAAGCCCTAGCTGGATTACTGCAAGAATCAATAAGCAGTCAGTCACATTAACAATGAAATAGCTCCATTAACATACAGTGCTACTGGTGAAACTTTATTTAGGAGGGGTGTTAGTTCACTTCATTGTTTTATCAATGAATTTCAGTTGTACAGGGAAAAGTATAGCTTGTGTACGCCTAATGAGCTTGCATAATGATAATCTTATGTGCTTTAACTATGAGTCTTTTTATGGGAAAGAAAGATTTTTTTTTTTTTTTCCTGTGACAGATTTGCTTTATTATGAGCAGAGGAACTATGTAACTGGAATTACAATTTGTTAACTGTGATGCACTGAAATAACTTGGGTGCCAGAGAGTTTTCTACTGTGACATATGTTCACTATTAGTGGGTTTCAGACAAAAGGTCATATCTCAAACAGGAACACAGATACATAGTGAATTTGTAATTTATATATATTTGGAAATTTCAAGTGGAGTTTAATGGTTAATCTCCTAAACACCCTCTCCCCCTCCAAGTTTTCTGTACCTCTGTGGCATTGCTGAAGAGATTAGAACACTGACCAGAGAAAGCCTGGTTGTTCTTACATAAAATAGATAGCAGAAACAACACAGAAGAGGTTATTAAAATGGATAATAGTCTATCTGGATTATGTGAAACATTTTTTTCCTGTGACTCAAAATTTTGGAAAGAAGATGCACAAACTGGACCATTTGAAGTACGGTATGGCTGGAAACACAGAAATATCTTTGACTTAATGTCTCATGTATCCCTTCGTGCTTTGTCTCTGCTTTCACTATGTCTGCTATCTTAGTTTGTCATGACTTTTACTCATTGAAATCTTCTTTACTGTAGTACCTTGAAGCCCTAGCTACAGTACAGCCTGTCTCCCTTCCCTCCATACTAGGATTTAAATGAGCAATGAACCAATATTCGTTGATTTGGTTGACAGTATTGTGCTAATTGAGTAGTTTTAATTGAGTAAACTTGGATTTGGGAAAGCATCATATTTGTATTCATCAAAATGATAGTAGAAGAGCCATAATGATAGCATTTTATGTTTATAGATTACGTACATTTATAATTCTTTACTACCTAAGGAGCTGTGGATTTCATGCTATCCCAGATAATCCTACTGGTAAGTCATTCATGAAGAAATGAAAGCCATTAGCAGCATACTTGGCCTAGTTTAGACACTGGTGTAAAGTATTGCTGTTAGATATAATTAGTTTTCAGGAGCAAAAGATCTCTCTCCTAGTGAAAGGATTCACATGTTTTTAAAGAGGGGTAATGCCAGCAACTGGCCATGATGCTACATAGCAGCACTGAGAGCAGCCACGCTGGATTACCAGACACCCTTAAATGCTAATTGACTCGAAGACCAGAACACAAACTATAATTTCAGCACCTCAGTATTACAGAATTTGTGGTCCACAGCCAAACACCTAACATATATCTATGCAGAACTGTCACAGCTATATTTGCAATAAAGGCTTATTCCTTAAAATTTAGCAGTGGATCAGATTTTGTAGTCTAGGACATATACTTCAGATCAATGAGATCAGGCATCTGAAAGGGTGCAGGCATTCTACAGTGAAGAGCACACACAGCCCTTCTCTAGAAATATACTCCTGAATTTTTATACATGCTGGTTTATAGTGTAAAACAGTTCAACAAGTTCTTTGCAACTATAACAACACAAATGTTTTGTTTTGTCCTACAAGTGTAAAAGTACTTAATTTTTTCTGTCTTCTCAGGAATTTATTTTCTCCAAGCTTTTCCCACAATATGGCACATCCTCAATGAGATGATAAACAGTTTTTCCCTAATCTTGGTTTCTCAAAGATTCAAATTAATGCATGTTTACTGTGATCCTGCTCTTAGAATTCCTCTCTCATGCAAGAATTCAATTGTTATGGTTTATGTTAGGTTCCTACTCAGGCCCACATCTACTTTATAGAAACTCATGCAGAGGATGAATAAAAGAACAACATATAAATCCTTTGTCATTCCTTCAGCTGAGACAGTGTTGTTATCCTGGGAAAGTCATGTAGAACAAAAATACATGCTACTTACAGATAATTTCTATACCAGCTTCTGACATAGAGCAGACAGAGACCGATGTAAGATATGGCATTTATTCATAAAGGACTTGATGTGAATGGTCACTTTCAAGTATAGCAACATGTGTACAATTGGTAACACACCCTAAAAAAAGACATAATTGATCTTTATATATGAAACATCAGCAAGAATAACGTTCAGTGAAAACTGTTGTTGAAATTGCCATTTTTCAAATAAGAAATTATACTAATTAAAGAGGACTTAAGTATTTTATAAACTATAAGATCACTTGTAAAATTGATAATCAGATATGTACTCAGTTTTCAAAAGGGATTTTTGAATATGATGTTCTACTGCTAATATATTTCTTGCAAAAAAACTGAGAAAAACATGTCTGATTGATCTATGTGTTATATAAAATGTCATGCATCAAGAAAATTCCACATGTACTGTCTAAGTGTTATATTGAAGGGATGAAGAGTTCTCTGTCATGATAGCCCGATTATGAGATATTACATATCAAATTACACTGAGGAAAGAAGATTCTCTTTTAATGCTTGAGATTTTGATCTCTCTATCATCTCTTTTATGTTAAAGAGCTTTGGGGTTTCAGGTCATTTCTGATAGGATCTCTAACCAAAAAAATAAAATAAAATTCCTTTTAATTGAGAACCCTTTACACTAAAAAACAATTAAGTTTTGAGATCCATTTAATTTTTACTTGTTTTAAGCACCATCATAAACATCTGCCACCTGGCATAGAAATTGCTTCATATGGCAGGTGGGGAGATGAGATTTATTTAAAAGTTCTTTGTCTTTGATACTTTCCCCTGCTGCATTTTCTGGTGGAGTAATTTGAAACTGATGGTGTTTAAATAACCATTTATTGCCATAATGGAAGAATACAGTTAAAAGTACATAGAGTAATTGCTGTCATTCCAAGATAAGAATACAGCAGTAGGCATAATGGATCAAACCATCTTCAGTCTAGTTTGGCCTCCAGCCATAACACTGGCCAACACTTTGATCATTTGGAAGGAAGTAAAATGACTTCTGCTTCTTTTCTGCACATATATGTAATGCAGAAATTGATTGATATATTAACCTGGACAAAAAAAGTTTTCTTTTTCCCTCTGTAGATAGTGATGAAAATCTCAGATCTGGGAGCTGACTATTCAGTTTTGAACTCGCCCTCAAAATCAAAACAAGTCTCGTGCTGTTCTCTGAAAAGGACAATGTACACATGGAATATCCTTCCCATGAGTTGCAACCCTCCCTGTTCCATATGCTCCCTCCCATACAGATTTCTTATGTATTTTTTTAAATGCCACCGGAATTCCAAAGCAATTTATAAAGAAACATGAAGCCTTTCCATTGAAAAATTGCAGCAGTGTTTGACAGCAACCATAAGAGTGGGGAGAGAAATTAAAGGGAAGACAAGTTACTCTGATTATCTTTTCCCTGCCTTGGCTTCCTTCACAATATTGCAAACTTTTTTTGCATGGCATTTTAGGGAAAAAGAAAGGAAGGTATTTTCTATTGTCCTTTTCACAAGACTTTTGACCTCTATAATGGGATCATCTCGTAAGATCATCTGTTTTTTCAAAATTTGAAACATCTTGAGCAAATGACATCATCTGAACAGTTCAATCTGTGAAATTCTTTCTGAGTCTATTAGGTCCATATGAGCCTAATGTGGCACTAAGACCATAGAAAAAGAGTCAAGAAAATTTACAAAACTCTCTGAGTGCACTATTAGCAACTGTAAATTCATCAAACATTGCTTTAAATGCAGCAATAACACTTGATTCTTTGCCAATAATTTTCAACTGTTGAGTATGACTACAAAAATGTATTTTATATCTGATTCATTTTGATTGCTCTTATATTCAAAGTGGTCCTAAAAGTCCTGAGTATTGGTGTGGGGAGGGAGAATGAAGAGGCTGATTTATGCATTGTAATCTTGTGAATTTTA